GATTTAAAATAAAAGTGATCAAATCCTCCTGCTGTTCTAGGTAACTGAAATTAAATCACCAGCAATTAACACTAAAACAAAGGTAAAGATATTCGGCTTACACATAATTGAAAATTTCTGAAGTTTAAAGATGTAGAAGACTTTTCAATGTGAACTTCTCTGTTTCAACAAAGATATCCTGTTTTGCAGTATCAGATCCATGGAGTTTCTAATTACATGGATATAAGTCTTGGCAGCATGATTACAGTTCAGTTTTGCCTTCTGAATCTAGGAATGTGAAAGATTTGTATATGCCACTGGTTGTGAGTCGTCAGTAACAAGTAATGAAAATTCCTATTTATCATTTCTAGGATCAACACCAGTTTGACAGCAGAAAATGGCATTATTTCCTTGGCTCAAATTACTGTTGTAAAGAATCTGGAAAAATAAATCCCTCAGTCCATTCAGGAATGTTCTTTTCCCAATTAAAGTTTCAAAGACTGCACATAACAGTGAGTTTTACTTTTTTCTATTAATATTTACATTTTAATTTCAAAAGTCCCTGTCAATTTCATTTCTATAATCCAGTCCACTTATATTCTCAAAATCTTAACTTCTTATCCCAAGAATCCTTTTAATATCTAATTTTTTACCTTGCTCAGTTACTAAAAAACATCTCGAAGTTTCTTTATCTATTACTTTACTTGAGTTGATTTTTCTTCTTCTTTTTTAAAATGTATTTATTTTTTAGTTAAAGGATAATTACTTTATAGAATTTTGTTGGTTTCTTCCAAACATCAACATGAATCAGCCATAGGTATACATACAGAGTCTCTGTAACAACCTAGAAGGGTGGGGTGGGGATGGAGATGGGATGGAGGTTTAAGAGGGAGGGAACATATGTATACGTATGGTTGATTTTTTTTTTCTTTAGTCTGTGAAATTATCCATTTGGTGATCACATAAGTAATACACAAAAAGTTCTTACTTCAATTATAAAAGCAAATCTGACTCATGATCATTAAGAAAAGTATTTTGCAAATCAACAATTGTTTATTTCAGAATATAATCAAGTACCACAGGCTAGATTAAAAGCTTAAGGATAGGGATTCTGTGCGCCGCCCCCCCCCCACCCGATTTAAAATAATAAAGGTAATCAAACTTTCCTGCCAATCTAGGTGATTGTGAAATTTAATTACCAGCAGTTATCATTAAAACAAAGGCAAAGCAATTTCTTTTATACATAATTGAATATTCCAGAAGCAAATTTCTAAAGAGTTCTCAGAAAATGTATTTAAAAATTAATTTTAACCTGATTATTTCAACTGTTGTGTCCCAGCTGGTAATGTAGAATAAATGAGATGCTTAAGCGATGTGGTCCACCAATAGCAGGTAAGAACACATTTACAGGAAAATCAGATAATGTTAAGCTTAATACTGAGTAAACTGTTACATTTTTACTCTTCACACAAATCCATCCAAACGTAAACCTCCCACAGCTATTCATCTAAGAGAAGTTTGCCCATGGTATTCTATTCGAGTTCACTTCTCCATATGCTGGAGACTACAGAATCAACTGTCCCCTTCTTAGTGCTCAATTGCTCAAATATATCCTGAGGCGTGGAGCGCTGTACCATCAAACCCACTGCTACCTGAACAGAAAGAAATCCTCCCACAGCAGCAGCCTTCAGTGACCTGGCAGCTCCATGACTGAGGCTGTTGATGGGCCTATAAGCATAACTGTCCAGAGAAGAGGAACCACCAAAAAAAACAGATGAATAGCCCTAAGAAGGGAGTTGAAAATTAGGCTATGAACTTCCCTATCTCCAGGCCTTTGCCTAAGATCTTCCCTCTCCCTAAAATGCCTTTCCTGCTGTTTTCTGAAAACATCCCACTCATCCTTCAAGGCCCAAGTCATAAGTCACCCCTGCTGACCCCTCACAACTGAGAGTCTCGTCCTTGTACCCTCCTCCCCATAACTCATTTTCTCAAAATAGAATACAGACTGTTGTTTGTCCATCTCTGCTGCTGGATGGCGAGGGAAAGGATCTTGATTCATCTTTCTATTCCAAACACTTTGGATTATGCCTGAAACCTAAAGAAACTCAGTAAATGCTTGTTTAATGAAGCTCAAACCTCAAGACCAAATTGAACACACAATGCAAGAGGCAGATTTGATATGTGTTCGACTTACTTCTGCACCTAAAGTCTGAGCCAGTGAAAGCTTTTATTTTTTCATTCCCCCAAGGAACAAACTTTATTCACACTGAGCATTCATTAAATGCCACACCCTGTGCTAAATGCTCTATACACATTACCTCATTTAATCTCCATGACATTCTTATGAAAGAGTCCCTATTATTAGCATTAGATGAGGAAACTGAGGCTTGGAGAAGTTAAATAACACACCCCAACTTATCCACTGGTGATGCCAAACTCAAGGACAATATCACAAAGCGTCAGAGCTAGAGGGGTATATGTGTTAGTCGCTTAGTAGGGTCCGAATCTTTGCAACTCCATGCATCATAGCCCGCCTGGCTCCTCTGTCCATGGAATTCTCCAGGCAAGAATACTGGAGTGGGTTTCCATTTCCTTCTCCAGGGGATCTTCCTGACAAAGGACTGAACCTGTGTCTCCTCCAGAGCAGGCAGATTCTCTACCATCTGAGCCACCAGGGAAGCTCTGAAGAATCCGTAAATTATTTTCCTCACTTAACCTCCTTGAAGCTGAGGCTGAGGCCAACCTGAGGCCTGGCACATAGTGGGTCCACCTACTATGGAAAAAACAGTGATTTATAGGCTGATGAAGTGCCTTCTTTTCTCAGACTCTGACCTTTGCCTGAGAACCCAGCTGCCATCACAAACAAGCTCTATTCTTCCCTGCCCAACACTTCTCACAGGTGTGAATTGCTTGTGTTTTCTGAATTATTCATGATCCACATAATGGTAAGTATGCTTAAAAACAGAATTCTGGTTCTCATATTTTTCAAGATAAAGTGCCTGATTAATTGGTGAATTAGCCAATATAAGCTCATGGGCTAGGTTGATTCATATTAAACAACATATCCTTGCCCACTTTTTGAATCTCAGCTTTCCTGTTATCTCTCAGTTTTCATTAGGATTTAAAACAGTGGTAACTAAAGCAAAAACTATAATAGACCCTTCACACACATCTCTATCCTATCTACAAAGCAATTAACATCATCTAAAGCTTATACTGTGCTGCTTCAAACCCATGTATTCTTCCTCAGGCTGAGTTAGGTTTTTTCAATAAGGCTCCTTTAGCTTAAGGAGATATTTCATAAGACCTAAAAATTCAGATGCCACAGCACCTGTAATTTATACACCAGTAAATTATATGATAATACTGCCTTATTGTCCTTTCTCTTGTCTTCTTTCCCTTCATCACCACTCTCCCACCAGTTCGTCTTCTTGTGGGCCATTTTCAAAGAGGGATAACCATATGCTAACCATAAGCCAACATCACTATATTTTAAATTCCATGTTAGTCAACCAAAATGAATTGAAAAGCAGCATCAGTGGTTTAAGGGTACTAAAAATAAGCTGTAGCATTTGCTGAGTTCTCAGAATTAAAACCACAGGCAGTCAACTTGTTGCTAATCTTAATAAGATATGACTGTTCTGCCCCATTGGCTGCTACTACCAGAAACTTTGACTACCTCGTACACATAACAACACTGTGCTTTTCATCAGTTGGTAATGATCAAGAAAGGAAGTGCTATTTCACTGGAACTAAAACCTGCCAAAGAAGATAATAGATGATTTTCAAGTAATCACTGTGTTCCATGTCACAATTGCACCTTAGTCAAATCACCTTGCATTTATGATTTAATTAGTCACACATCTAGAGATAAGTGTTCCTTAATGCTTGGCTTGCTATCCAATGCCTCCAATAGAATGTTTCTTTCTCCGAGTTTAATTTTTGGAGTAATAATTTAAAACGGACACACAATAGAAATTAATACAATATTGATATATTGAGCATTTCCATTAGGACTTCAAGACCTTCTTGACCCCTGAGTACTGTAAACTACAGTAAATGTCTTGTCAGCTCTCCCTTTAGGGTTTGTCGTTAAAGTTTTCAATGACCAGAGCGGTAGAAGCATTCTACCTAATGCATCATCCTGATTAGAAACCTGTCATACTCAGAACCCAGAGGGTCTGCTTCTATTGATTCCTCCTCCTTCAGATTCATTAGCGATTTCTTCTCTTCAATTAGACCCGCTGACCAACCATAGAAAAGCTGAAAGAAGCCCTTCCTTCGCTCAGGCACACTTGAAAGAAAAAAAAAAAAAATGTATGCCTGGAAAGTAAAATTACCAAACATATTCCAAGAGGCCACAGAGGAAAATCACACACACACACACACACACACACACACACACTTGCACACTTGAAACTGGGCAAATGGTCAGAGGCTGGGCTTGACCACCGGTCCCTAACTTCAATCAGAACCAGAATGACAGAATCCCTGTATTACCCATATCTCAAGCCCATACACCAAGCGTACGTCTCCACGGAGCTAATTTCTGAAACAAACAAAGAAAATGAAGTATGCGAAGAGCGAGGCTTTGCTCCCCCTTGCCTTGAATCTGGGCATCCAGTGGAGTGGGCACCGCACAGCCAGAGGCTCGGGGCGCCCAGCGGCACCCTTACCTTCCCCGCCCCGCCAGCCCTGGTTCAGCGGCGCTAGAAAGTGCGAGCCCGCCCTGCTCGCCTCGCTTCTTGCCTGCTACTCCACAAATCCCTCAAACCCCCACTTCAGCACACCAAGGGCGCCCCCGCTCTCCCACCTCTGCGCTGTCAGACTCCAAGCGCGAAGCTGCTGTGGGCACCCAAGGGTGCCGGCCAGCCAAACAAGTGTCACAGCGGCCGCCTGCCCTCACTCCGGGAGAGCGGGCAGAACGGCCACAGGTAGGCTCTCTCCATCCCAGAGAGCGGGGCGCGGGCGGGGGGCGAGAGAGCCCGCGGGGCAGCCGCTCCCGATGGGCTGAAACTCACCGGAGGACACCGAGGAGCCGGACAGGCTGGAGTTGCTGGACGCTGCCATCGCCGTGCGCCCCGCGCGACGCTTCTCGCTCAGCCCCGGAGCGGACGCCGCCGCCGCTGCCCTGGCCCGGCCGCTCGCAGCCTCCGCGGCCCCCAGCCCATGGCAAAGTCCGGGGGGACGCGCAGAAAGCACCAGCCTCCGGACTCTGCCTGCACTTCCTGCTCCGCCAGATGACGCGCTGCTGCCGCCGCTATTTATTTGTGGTTTCCGTCCCTCTCGGCGCCTTCGCACGCTGTTCTCCGGGTGTCGGGGGTAGGTGGGAGCGGAGGGAGGCCGAGGGGCGGCCGGAGCGGACGAATCGTGCCTCCCGCCCAACCCCAGCTGCGGTCCGCGCTCCCCAGCGCGCGGCTGGGACCCGGGGTCCCGGGCGGCCCGGAGTCCCTCCACCAGCTCCCCGCGGGCTCCCGCCTCCCCGGCGGCACTTCAAGCTGCCCGGGCAAAGGCAGCGGGAGACAGACAGACAGAGCGACCTCCCCCTTCTCCCTCCGCCCCAACTCCTCTCGCGCGCACACAAAGGAAGGAGAGGAGACGCGGGAGCTCCGGGGCTGGCTCAGCGGCTGCGGGCTTGACAGCTCCTGCGACGGGGGCTGGAGGCGGCGGCTATGGACTGCTGGGCGGGGGGAACACTGGCCCGGGGAGCCGGACCCAGAGGTGCCAGAGAGGCCGCGGGGGGGCGCGGGGCGAGCGTGGCGGCGGTGCGTCGCGCTGCTCCAAGGGTTTGAGGGCGCCCCGAGTGGGGCGTGGGGGGAAGGTGGTGGGTCGCGGCGCCCCCGGCCAGACTAAGGAGTAGCGAGACAGCCCAGGTGGGATGCAGAGGATGAAGGCGGGGTCACTAGGGACACGATGCTAGGCAGAAGGGGGGCCTGAGAGGCTGGGGAGCGCTCCTTCCACTCCCCTCCAAATTGTCCTTTGTTGCTCTGGAGCCGAGGATCCCTGCCCTGCAAGAAGGTGCGTTTCCTAAAAGACCCTCAAAACACCCCGCAAGCCAGTCGGGCTGCACTTCAGTACCCCAGCCACCGGACTGCCCGACGGGTCCACTGGGCTTCTGAGATGGGCCTTCAAAGAAATAGAGACGTTCCAGATATGTCATCAGGCCCACACAAAGCCGGCAGTCAAACAGAAAGGTTCTCAGCCTGTGTCTTGCAAAGGATCCTCACAAAAGACCTAAGGCTTGGCAGCAGGTCCAACTGTGCGCTAAGGAACTGCTTAGGGGTGAGAGAAACAGACTCCGCACAAGGTGTGTACCTTACCCCTGTATTTAAACCGAAATTAATTTCACTGGGAGGAAATATCATGCCGATTTTTTTAAGTCTATTTCACGCTCCCAGCAGGGTAATCAGTTCTTTCATTCCTGAAGCCACAGAAAACTGTGAAATTTGAACAGAAATTGTTAGATCAAAGGAAAAAGCAAACATTAAAGGAATGAAAGTACTCTCATTATGTAGCAAAGTGGAAAGTGTTCACATTGAAGTAGTTCAATTTTTAAAAACACGGTTAAAAGGACATAGTCAATTTAAAAATTATCAGGAGTGACATAGGAACAGCAGCCAATCCTAGGGGGTCCACCTCAACCAAGCACCTAACACACGGTGAATAAATGTTGAATAATCACAATATGCACCCATGTCACGTTTTCTAGTTGATTTAAACTTTTTTTTTAAATGCCCTTCAGGATACCATCCCAGTGTATGTTCCCAATAGGGCTCAATTTTTTTTTTCTTACTGACTTCCCTCACGGCTCAGACAGTAAAGAATGTGCCCACAATGCAGGAGACCCAGGTTCAATCCCTGGGTAGGGAAGATACCCTGGAGAAGGAAATGGCAAGCCACTCCAGTATTCTTGCCTGGAGAATCCCATGGACAAAGGATCCTGGTAGGTTACAGCCCAGGGGGTCGCAAAGAGTCAGACACAACTGAGCAACTGACACTAACAGAATACCATCCCAGTGACATTCCCATTAAGGCAGCTTGCTGAATAATTGACAGCTCTTGAACACTCTCCAGTCACACAGGACTAAGTCTTCCTGACCCTCATCTACATGGCACTTGAAACATCCCTGTCTGGTATAAGGAGACCCAAGCACCCCTCCTCCCTCCCCTCTTCCATTTTTCTTCTTTTTTGTGTGATGCAACCTTGATGCAGTTTACTGTGGAGCCCTTCAAGGACATATGGTCCATCAAAACCTTGACCACGCTATCGGAATAGAACTTCCAGTTATTTTTCCCAGAGTTCTTCTGATCAAAGGCATCATCTTTCTCTCTGACTAGTGATCTATGCATCCCTCCAGATCTTTAGCTGGTGGACTGTCTAACTTGGCTATGTCACCTAAGTAGGGTTGTCTCCCTCTGGGCTTGGAAGGAGACAACACCTGGACTCAAACTCTGGTTCTGCCACTTATTAGCTATATGACCTCGAGCAAATGACTCACATTCACCGAGCTTCAGTTTTTCCACCTGCAGCCATACTCCTGATAACATACAGTGTTGTGAAGATTAAATGAGATATGTACAGCCACAGTACCTGGCCAATAGTCTGTGCTCCGTAAGTGATAGTAAAATGTTTACTTGAAAGATGGAATGTATGATTTGAACAACTTTCCCTTTCTCCATTGCATCTGGAGATAACTGAAGGAACTAATCAGTAGGGACTTATTCTACCAGGGGAAATGCTCATTTCTGGCCCAAGGTTTGTATCTTTCTTGTCCCACATTGAGCAACATGCAACAGGTTTCATGACTCAAGTCTCATAAAGGGATGTCAGATTCTATTTCTGCAGTTTGGATGGTAATATTTACACTCAAAGAGCTTTACAGTCCTTAGTTAGAGAAAGCCAACCATGATTCTATGAAGTAGATCGTTTTTATTACTCCCAGTTGACAGGTGAAGGGGCAGCAGGACACCTGTTGTGAAGGCATCACCCCAGGGCTACACCCTGTGCTGCACAAAAGTAGTATAAGATGGAGAATAGTTTTTTCCACTGGGTCCAGAGGTCAGACGAATATAAGACCAATACACTTGCTTGCTGGGTAGAAATGGGATGACTGGGGAGGCTTAGCTTGATGGTAGGAGATGGATGGAAATTCTGAAGTATATTATTTTGAAGAACAAAAGGAAAGCTCTAAGTTTAGAACTAAAATCTGAAAGATGCTCAATAACTTGGATTGTTAAAGTCAGAGCCAACAGAGAAAACTCGGCAGGCATGATCACTATTGCTTTTCTTAGATTCAGAGGCTAATGGCTTGCTGCTACTTGTAAAAATGTTTAATATCAATAAATTAGCAGCAGGTTGCTGAAACAACTTGCCAACCCCCTCCTCAATATGCCCAGGAACCTGTTTGTGAACCTTCCGAAGCATTTCTCTAAGTGAAATAATAATTCGTCTGTGTATTTTTTTCACTCATATATGGCATTATTTCTAGGTAATGCCTGTTTGCTGGTAAAGGGGGAATATTGATGCTGCAAAGATCTTAAGTCTGTTTGACAAGCAGGAGTTTTTCAAGACATGTCTACCTTCTTCAAATTGTAAAATACGTATGGAATGAAAGGAGTCTTGTCTATAACGTGGTCTATTACCATTTTGTTTTAACTTCGCTTACATACTTAGTTTAGCATGTAAAGCCTTCCCACTTTCCCTTTCCAAACATATTTCCTGTTGTCCCCTTCACAAACGTAACCCCACCCACTACATCCCGTACCACTTGGGGCTGCCAGCACTGGCCTTTCCCCATCCCTCCCTGCTGGACGTCTTACAAACCCTGAAGGTTCAAGAAGATTGTTTCTTCTTGGGGAATCTTCCCTGATTCTCATGCCAGAAACCAGCTCTCCTTCTGTTGAATTCCTATAGTCTTTTCTCTGTACCTCTCAAATGGCAGATGCTCTGTCTTGCCTTGGTCACAATTGTGGAATTTATTTGATCTCCCAACTTTATTAAAAGGCTTCCTAGGGGGTAGGTTTCTTTTCTGGCCGGCCTTTGCATTCTTTACCATGTTTTACACACAATAGGTGCTTAGTGGATATTTGTTGAATATGGGAGTAAACCCAGAAACAAGTGGTTCTCATGGACACCAATTAATTTTCACATCAGCAGCTGTGACCACTGAGTAACAAGGTGATGAGTGATGCATCTGGAGCAAAAAAAACAAAACTGATGACCGTGTAAGGACACACTCTTCTGCTGTGAACAAGAGAAACTAAAATGGTGAAAACAAGAACAAATTTCGATGGATCAAATGTTTGCCATCCCTACCACCACTCCCATGACAGCTGTTACAACTCTAATTTATTGTTTACAGAGTAGCTCTTATGTTACTGTAATTTGTTTATTTTTGCTTTACTGTTCGCTCCTTTGAAGTTGAAAAGCAGACATGAAAACACCGCAGGGTGAATGTGGCTGCCTTGGCTGGGGCTGGGCTCCCATATTTCAGGCACTCAGGGGTGTTTGTGAAGGTCATTCCTTTTCTCTGTGATAAGCCCAGAATGAAATATTCCTGACTTTCAAGATTAATCCAGTGGCCAGCATTCACTGGAGAACAGTGGAGCTATTTGTCAACTAGCTTTAAATATTTTATGGCAAATACTCTACATAGGAAATGGGTCCTTTTGCCATCAATTTCTAAACATAGATATACTCTTTGTTGTAGTGAGAAATATTTCCCTTTGTAGTTTAAACTGTATTTCTAATACAAAGATGCGTAGTCCTGTTAAAGAGAAAACACTGGCTCCTCGGGGGTAATGTCCAGTGTAACTCGAGGCAGACGCTGAGAAACAGTGCATGTCCTCCAAAGAAGTGCGCCGGCAGCCCAAGGTGGGGTGACAGAGCAGCCAGCTCAGACGCCGCAGGTAGCAGCCCAGCCTCCGAACAAAAGGAGTCCACACCTGGGGTGCAGACAAAGGAGGCCGCCTCGGTTACCCAATTCCCAGTTCAGACTGCCTGCTGCGGGAGACCCCTAGTGGCCACACGCCGCAAGCACAGGTGTTCCTGAATCTGCTCTGAAATGCGG